ACCACGCAGGTACTGAAATAACCATTCATTTATTTTGCCTATTGGTTGCCTTGAACATAGAATTAAACAATGGAGCTAAAGGAACTGATTTTCCCTAACGAAAAATACATCTATCCCCTACAAATATTGTCAATTTATTATAATCCACATAAGAATTCACACGAGACGCACTGTATACATAGGCTACTTGTACTGACACCCAGTGGAAATTGTACTGACCTGCAGTCATAATTATTTTATAGCCTACAAACACTGCCACCAGCTGCCCCCTGGCGTCAATTCTAAATAGACATTCAAATCCTCCTGCTGCAAGATTATTTTCCTCCTGCGACGAAATGGGTCATATTAAGATCCGACATCTGTTCCAACTGAACACAACTTATCAAAGGGGGAATTGAGGGGGTTTACGAAAAAATCCAACAGCTGGTGTGCGTCTCTCTCTCTTTTGAACTACACACAAGATCTATTTTAACTTGAGCAATAAGGCCCGAGGGGGTGTGGTATATGGCCAATATACCACGGCTAAGGGCTGTTCTTATGTACGACGCAACGCAGAGTGCTAGGACACAGCCCTTAGCCGTGGTATATTGGCCATATATCACAAACCTCAGAGGTGCCTTATTGCTATTGTAAACTGGTTACCAACGTAATTAGAGCAGTATAAATAAATGTTGTCATACCCATGGTATACGGTCTGATATACCACAGCTTTCAGCCAATCAGCTCGAACCACCCAGTTTATAAAATCAAATAAATCATGTGATAGGGAGACATCAAAGGCAACAGTTGCATTTATTTCCAATGAAAATGAGTACATCTTCTCTCTTCTAGTCTTTCGATGTAAACATTTCTACTGTGAGTTGAGGCCTCTATTAGTTGCTGCATTGTATATGGGCCGTGTAAACTGTGACACCACTCACGTCAATGGCTTACGGTACATCACAATTAGACAACATACAGTAATGTGTGCTTTATCATATACTTAAAAACGAATACACTTTGCATATCTGCATTTTAATAAAGCCAAGTAAGCTTTGAAAATATTCACATACAGGTTTCTGGATAAACAACACCAGAATTGATTGCATATTTTTAAGACTTAGGACTAGTATACTTGATGGTACCTACATATACGTGTTTGCAAAAATATAAATATACAGGTACTGTACTTAGTTACGTTATTGCTATGCATGATTAAGGTCTGGCCTAGTTTGGCTCAGATTTCAGACCACTCTATGAGGTGTATGGCCATTGTCTTACATTAGATAGTGTAATGAAATGTCTGCACTGTCAGTTGAGGGGCGAGTGTCAAGTACGAGTGACGCCACCTGATGTCAGACAATGGTGTTTGGCTGTTGATGAGTCGAGTCCACCTACACTACCAGTAAATGCTTATCCATTAACATGACATTAACTGACAACATGGGAGAACAAGGTAACAACAAGTTAGTACCAAAAAGCAGTGAAGTTGAAAGTCCATGATTTGTTGTGCCTTCTGTCATAAATCAGTGATGGTGAGCAAAACAGATCAGTGTGTCTCAAACTAGAAAAAGAAAAACAGAACAAAATGTATAAAAAACATGTCCCAAATTATAACATGAATGACCCTAGAGAAGGGAATGGCCACTGTCAGCAAGTTAGCTCTCTCTCGGTCTCCGGTCCCATCAGGGTCTTTGGTCCATGTGCACAATGTCATGAAGGAATGTCAAAAAACAAACGTTGACGTCACTATGATGATGGAAGACAAATCCATGGTAGGCTTGGCATACTGGGCCCATACATTAACTGAAAGAAAACAAAGAAAATGACTAAAAATAACAAAATAAAGTGAATGGAAACACACTATGGAGTGAAATAATGCAAATCATATACATCCACATTCACATTCTTTCAGAAAAATGTATGACTTCATGAAGATAAAGTATAATGAAGGTGAAAGAGAGAATAGAGACAGAAAAAAATATTAAAATAAAGGTCAGAACATTTGTGGAATGTGCCTCAGAGAATCATTATGTCAGTACAGCAGAATTAATTAATGAGTAGTAATTCTCAGAGCTGTCAGTGGAGGGAGCCGTTCAACTCCATTTTGAAGACAACTCATGAAAAATGCCACTGTAAATGTAAAGTTAATATAAAAATGTGTCATGAAGTGATCGAAATTTATACAATAGTTACCTGGAGGAAAATGGGGGAGGGTCATGATTTTTCAATTTCAGTCAGGGGGAGGGTTTAGTGTTTTTTAATTTAGTCCAAGGGAGGGTCATGTAATTTGTAATCGATTAAAATGTCATATTGCTCAGAGTTGGAGAATTAGTTGCTTATTATAGTATCTCATGTGTGCCTGATGATGCCCCTCATCCCTGATTCTCTGCTGGGCGAGCAATATCAACTGAGCCTAGTGTGGTCTCAATCAATTGATCCATAATCTATACTATAGGCTATACTAAGAGCATGCTTGGAGAAGCACAAGACTAAGTTATATTTTTACGAAAATGTACTTTGAGTTTATGTACTGCTGGGATGGTGTATATAAAAAAACGAGGCTACACTGCATTACACACTGCAATGGATAGGCGTTCCCAATCATGGTTTGTCTCTATGACATTCGGAGGCTGCGCTACAACTTTCTATAGCCAAGGAGCAGTGGTGTAATGTTATTTTTTTAGGTGAGCGCAAAATAAATAATTAAATGACAATCATTTCACAATCAAAGTTTGTAACCACAGATTGAATATTTAAGTGATAATGCCCGAGAAGCCGGTGTTCGGAGGATATATTGACACGGGTGTTCGTCGAGGGCCGGCAAACCATGCCAATATATCCTCCAAAAAACGGCTTCGAGGGCATTATCACATTTATACAACGGGTTATCAACATATTCAAATAATGATTTACATATTTTCATTAAAAACGTTACTTTGATGAATTTATTCATACTATTTCATCCTTACACAAGATATAGTCCCGACACAAATATGTAAATTTGGTTGCTACCCAAGCCGGCTGGTCATTCGGTCTATCGGTTCGGTTGCCAGAGACGCGACCCAGTCGTTAAGTCTTTTTGTTCTGTATCTATGGACGCGACCCAGTCGTTCGTTCTAAATGCTCTATTGCCATACTGGCTGGCAACGTTCTTATCCCTTGCTTGCTAGCTAGCCAACTACGGCTAACTTACAGTCACGTCAAACAGTGCAGCCAGAATAACAACAAAGTAGCTGCATTTACATTTGTTTAAGCTTTTTTCTAATTACATTTATTTGGATACATCCATTACAAATGAGCTAATGATGCGCGATTTCATCTGGCAAAGAAAATGTGCTCTCTTGCAGGACACTGTTGTTCAGAGGAGCTAGCCAACACAGCTAACACAATCAATTCAAACTGAAGCTTGAAAGACTGCAAACTAGCTGCACTTCGTTTCATTTTACCTGTTTTCTATTGATCTTTGTTTATATCCTTAAAAATTATGCTGATTCATGATTTCAAATGGCTGAGAAAAGCTGCCTGCCGGTCTGTCTCATCCCGACACGTTTATTACTATGCGACAGCTGAATATCTAATTTGAATATTGAAACAATGTTGCAAATGTCGAAGAGAGACAGACTGCAAGGTTTATGCAAATCTCCGCTGTTGAAAACTAAATGTCAGTCTAAAAGAAATGAGAGATAATGTCTAGATGCTTTTTATAGTGGAGATCAAGTTTATAAATTGCCTGGCTGGGCTGATGAGACTGGATTGCTAAATCAGATGAAACAGAGTAAATATGCATTTTAACATCATAGATTTAGCCGGTGGTAACTTGTGGAATAGACACCGGCTGGAATGCGGTTTTAACCAATCAGCATTCTGGATTAAACCCACCCGTTGAATAAAATAATAATAATAATAATAAGTAATGAGTTGATCTATTAGATGTAGGCAACATCTTGATGAGGGTTATTTTGAGCGATTTGAGCGCCCTTCGAACCCGTGGTGCTGAATGGACAGCAGTGGTCACGTATTATTCTTGGTTCCACTGCGCAAGGGGCTCTGTGGAGTTTTATGAACTTCATGGTAGACACGTGGTGAATTTGGATCCTAGATATCATTGGTGTGATAATAAGGTTCATGCGGTGGATCAGTTAGTCTGCATATGCAATATAGGTGGTACTCGGACAGTAGGGCGAGTTCAAGTGCGTCGTACAAGACTGTTGAGGACAGCCGTTTTAGAAACCGCTGGTAGAGTTTTGTTTCTTAGGCTGTTCTTATTATGTTGGATTTGGCTTAAAGTGGTCACGCCTCCGACCGACGGGCCTCTGCACAATAGTAAAACATTTAAAGCGGGTACAGCCTGTGTTCACAGTAAATACATGCTGGAAGTTGCACCGAATTTTCACAACTTCATGTTTGCACTCGGCAGACCTGAAATTTGCTCAGTGCCCAAAAACATTAGAGGGAACATTGGTCACATTGTTTTTTCAAGCGTTCAGGGAGGGTTGAGTAAAAATATATATAAATAACGTACAGTCCCTAATCTAGTGAAAACCCAAGCAGTACCTCAGGAACTATGAAATCTGTCAGACTAACCACAAAATGGATGAACGGTTTCACTAATAACTGCCAATGCACATATTATCCACTAGATGGAGCCTGTAGAAGCTTAAAAAGGTTATGTGACTGCCTCACAGAGAATCTGCCTTTCTCCAACTAGGAGCTGGTAAGTTTAGGTATTTTCCATAAGTCAGTCTGCTCATATTCATATAACTATTTCAGTGTACAATAAATACAACATCCTGGTATGGAATTTGGGGGGGGGGACAGAGGGGAAGGCCCCTCATGATCAGGGTACGGACTCTTTACGGTGTCTGCTTCTAATATAATTTAAGTCAATCCACTACTATCTGTGATCTCAATTCACTCCTTTTGGGAAAAAAGGAAGGATAAAGGGACTTTGAAGGGTAAGAGAAGGTAAGGATTGGGAGGAATAGAGGGAGAGCGAGAGGACAGGAACTTGCTTACTTTTTCTTGTCCTTGTCCTTCTTGAGTGGCTGGGCTAAGGACAATGTCTCAGCTGCCACCTTCCTGCGGTTGAAGGCGTTCATTTCCTCCTCCAGTTCCCGTCTCTTTTCCTCCACCTTCCTCTTCTCCTCCTGGTGCATGTGCTTCAGCTGCTCAAACTTGTTGTGCAACTGATAGTGGCAGAAAGATAAGACGTCAGGCCAAGAGATAAAGCTTGATTATCTACAATCCAAATATATATCAAAAGGTCAGCACAGGTATAAACATGCATTGTTACATTTGACTGTATGTAGGTGTCAATGTCAACGGCATTGTTACATTTGACTGTATGTAGGTGTCAATGTCAACGTTCACTTTAACTACATGTATGTGCAACACTCACATTTATATGCAACTGAATCCTCCATAAGACAGCAAACCCATTTCCTGAAATATCCTTCATCCCCCACCTTCCTCCTCCTTCCCAGCCAGCAGCCACACCCTCACCTCTCTCTCCTTCTCTTTCAGCTCTGCCTCAGTCTCCTTCACTTTGTTGACAAACATCTGTCTCATCTCCTCCTCCTTCTTCTGCAGGTCTCCCATGAACTCTTTCCTCTTGGCTTCGTAGGTCTCCTGGAGGCTGTGAACAGGACAAAGAGAGAAGTGGCTTACTACATCTCAGACTAACTACAGCTTGGACTAACTCACAAAGGAATTACAGGTTTTAAATCACTCACAGAGCATCTTTACATGCTGAACTCTGGGATTCATTGGTCTGCTTTCCTATAACATATGACTAACTATTAATTTCAGTGTTTGTGTGTTCTGTGATCAGCCTTGCTGCCTCACCTGAATGGCTGACAGTCAGGGTCTGTATCTTTGAATCCCATCTCCTCCAGTTTGCAGCGGCGGTAGAGCTCATAGTGGCGGGCGTGAGTCTGCTCCCTCAGATCCTCCATGTTCACCCTGATCAGCATCTCCCGCAGCTTCACAAAGTCACAGTGGCTCTCGTTCTCCACTGGACGGGACAGCACAGCGACAATACAATGTCAATGAGACGATCTTACTAACATCTGAGGTCAAAGGCACCACCCTCAACCACGGTCAATTAATCTACATAAATGGTATACAAGTTCAAATGGGTCCACATTGTGGGGCTCCTGCAGTCGATTAATGATAAACTAGGTGCTGTAAGACAACTCTCTTCTCCGAGTAGGAGTAGCATCACATCAACTGAGGAAAGCACAGAACGATTGAGGAAAGAACTTTGGGGATATTTGGCAAAAGAGTACTGTACATTAATTAGAAAACCTCTGGACTTTGTCCTTGTTTTACGTTCCACTAACTCTGAGTCAAAGAGTTCTCATGCATCCAATCATGTGAGGACTGGAGCAGGAAGCCTTTCCTGCTTTTCAGACTTGACATAAGTGGGGGAGAATTTGCCCTGAAAAAGACCAGAGGAAGCGCATGGACTCCATGGCTACAGTGGTTTACTGCGGGATATAGTGAAAATAAATACTGTATCAACCCCAGCTGTGAGCGCTGTGCTGGATGTAAGGATGCTATAAAAAATTGTGACAATTAGCGCAGCATTTAGCGTGGAACATGATCGCCTTCGACATGATAGTCACTACACCTTCAGTACTGTATGAGAGAAAAATGACATACACAGACAAACCTACACTTTGAAGTCTTTGGAGAGGAGAAATGGGGAAGAAAATGGCTGATGACATCTGGCATCTAACAACCTCTCTGGTAAACTCCCCGCTGAGACCCGGGGTGCAATTTGTTGACCCCGGGAAACCCAGAGTTGTCAGGGCATGGGAGACACACATTACACACACTCTGCACAGATATTATTGGCAGGGAAGAAATACCAGCGGTCTGCTATCTGTCATAGTCGTCTGGGGTTCAGAGATAACAGCAGAGATATCATTTTTTTCCCCACAAGACTGTGTTTCTCATTTATCATAGCACATATATGACATAGGAAAACTGTTTTGATTGAGACGGTTGCTGCTATAAGCGACGGAGATTCAATCAAGTGAACACAACATGATTCACTTAATCCAGTGTTTCCCAAACAATTTGAAAATGGGGTCGCGAGAGAAACCGAAATAAAATTAGAAAAATCGCACTTAGTTCATAGAACCTGGGTTACGTCAGTAACCTCCGGTAGTCGCTAGATGCGGTTGTAATAAACAGAGCGGTTTCGGTTTTCTTCCTACAAATCTGGCTTTATCTCTTGAACGGTTTAAGCTACAACATTATTTGACCATCACTGAAAGATAAGACTCCCAGGAACACGTATGTGTCTTCTGTTTCCCTCTACAATGCCCACAAGCCACGCATGACTCATTAGAACAGAGTGGACAAGACCAGGCACTAAATCAGACTAGGGGAAAAAGAACATCAATTATGTTATTTTCTAGACAGAAGATCAAACAAAATTATTTTGAACTTCCCAGTACCTTTATGATGCATTTCAGTCATTTCAAACCATGCTTCCTTTAGATTGAAATGCTGTCAAAAGTACTGTCAGACTGATTTGTAATAGGTCGTCATAGTCCCAATTTAAAAATGAAACATTGGCAGGTGCTTAAATCACTTTTTCTACATGGTGGGGTCACATTTTTTTTAAATATCAAAATGGGGTCACGTGCCAAAAAAGTTTGGGAACCCCGGAGTCTTAATCATTTTCTGTCTAGCCTAGTGTTTATCGCCATGTTGACTGATGGAAACCCTCTCCTACGCTCTCCCCTATGAGGCAGGCTTTATAAATAACCCTAAACCACGGTTCTTGGAGGATTGGGGAATGGAAACAGGCACAGGATAATGGAGAGACCATTCTAAATCAAACTCCCAGCTGGGTTCAAATATTCTCACTTTCAGTGCTCAGTGATGTGATCAAATTACAGCGTTTAGCCTCCCTGTCGAACACAGCTAAATGTCTGAAAACAAAGCAAACAATGTAGCAGTGTCCCTGTGGTAATACTACCAATAGTGCATTCATCGGTCTCTGCCATTTTCCCAAGACACTAGGGACTGACTTCCTGAGCAGTGGTTCTTTCCTGAAATGCAAAGAAGTGCCGAGAGGTACAGAAGGAGAGGTACTCACCTTGCACTACTCCCCAGGGATACTGCCTGGCTCGCACCGTTTTGTTCCCCACTTTGACCTCCTCGATGCTCCCCACCACAGCGAAGGGGAGGTGAGCCTGAAAGAGTTCACAGGTCAAGAGGTTAGTCAGGTTACAGATTTGACCAGAAGCAGCTTCCACAACGCCCTTCACTCTCACACAGGTTACACTTCCTTCCTTACAGCATAGCCAACATTTTTACTGGACACGTCTAACTGTTTAGACAGATGTCCATGGAAGAGAGAAAAAATACTAACGTTTAACTTAGATTAAAACTTTGGTTGTAACAACGTTGCCATAGACCACACAAGAGTAACTCTAAACAGTGTGGACATATAAGTTACTTCGGGGGCTGTGTTTAACATCTAGCTAGCTGTATTTAGAGGCATGTCTTGTTGGTCTGATTAAACATATTGGCCTGATTGCAACAGAGATGTGGAACCTGCAGGTTACCGCTGGATTTCTCAACACGCTACGACCAGGAGGTCCAAGCTAAAATTACCCTGGTTGCAATGAAAAAAAAACTGCGGAATAAAACTAGAAGAGCACCTGATCTGACACTGTTACGGTGTCAAGCCGGCTTAATACTAGACAGTGGAAATGGCATGGGAAATGGTCATTGTCTGCGTTTACATTGTCCCGCCCCAGTGGAGAAAACATCCTATCAGGGACAACGAAATAGAAATATGAAAAAGATAAATAGAAGAATGTGATATTTTACAACTGAAATACAATTACTTGACTGGAAATGTAGCCTGTCAATTACGATGATTATAACTTTGCAAAAAAAAAAAGTTATTGAAGACCAACTTTTAATGAATTACTACATTGAATATGAAAGTGATATGGATTGCAGCAACGTGTGACAGACATTGTTTCTTCAATAAAGTACAATATGCCACAGTAGGCCCACTGGCCTAATTAATGTATCACTGTACGAAATCATAAAAGGTTCATTATTGACTTATCACGTTGTTCTACAAATAAATAAATCAATAAATAATCTCCGCTATCTGCAAAATATTAGAATACAATATAATTTGATTCAAAATACAACACAATCACAATTTAGTTTCAAATGTCAAAGTGTAGCTTACAGTTCAGGAATATTTCCTTTTCCCCTCTTGATAAGAAATGGCCATATTCAATTCAGACAAGTAAAATCATTAATGAATTACATAAATAGGAAAAAAAAAAATGTATCCTACACCATGATATTTCCATTCATAAAATGTGTAGGGTAGGCTACATTTACATATTAGATTTGCCGTGATAAACAAGTAAATTAAATACTTTATTTCAGTTGTACAGAATGATTGTCAAATAGATAAATCGCCCTAAGCCAGTTAAAATTGTAAGATCAAATTGTTCCAATGATAATACCCACCAGAGTGCGAAATCATCTTGAAAAATGTTGGTTGCAATCAGGACTAAAGATAATGTCATCCACGTTATGGAACGGTAAATCGGTGGTGGATGATGGTTGTAATGTGTGATCAGATGGGTGATTGATTTTAGCACGTAATGATGGTATAGCCCTTTCCACTCACAGCACCTGTCATCCCGTATACGGGTTGAAAATGGCAGAGTTTGTCATTGATAAGCGCCTAAATTGGAACACAGTGGCTGTACAGTAACATGCTATACAAAGCTTAGGTTCTCCACTTCACTGCGCTGTATGGGTTTTGACTGACAGCAGTTATAAACTTGAGCACCGTGTGCGACAGAAAGATGCCACCACCCCTTCTGCTAATTGGGCTACTTTTGCACATTTGTTGTTGTCCGAGTGAGGTCAATGTGTTCTGAAAGATGAAACGTTGAGGATTATAATAAATACATATTTGATGTCATACAAGCAAAGCACACACCCTTGAGTCCCACATTTCCATATTTGAAAACTCATGTAGTTTACAGTATCAACGTTTATGATCGCTATGTTTAATCCAGTTACAAGGATGACATGCGTTATAGAATGAGCCAGTTTGTCGTATTGTGAAGAAAATTTGCCATGGAACAAACACTTGAATGCACTCATGACTCCATTCTATGTGCACCAAAATTACAGTCGGTTTGTGCCTTTTGAAAGCCTAACACTAAGATCGTATTTTATAACTTACTGTAGCAAGCCATGTCAGCAATAGAATGAGCTTTCAAATTATGCCCACCTGACCCAGATTGCGATTTATAATGGACCGTTTTTGGATTGCGTAAACAGTAATTGTCTGATGGTGGGTACAGTTTGGAGAGGTGTGAGGCCACTTGGAGACATCAGTTAAACCTCACTCAAACCCTATTTTTTTCTTATCTTGCACCTACTCCCACATTTCAAAGAATATTCTTATTATGTTACTGAACGTATTTTCAGATTTCCTTATTGACAAATGCTGTGAAAAGTACAGTAAAGGTAAAATGCAGATCAAATCAACAGTGTAATGTTTGGATTCAGTCTTGTGTCATGTGAACTGTTGTGTCCTCACCTTTGGTGTGATCATTTCCCCATAATCTCCAAAGTGTTCTCTTTCAATTGCTACCATGATTTTTATTGTTCTTCTGTTAAAAACATTTCAATTTGGCCCTATCCATATAGGTCAATTTCCACGAGTGTAAGGGGTTAATGAAAGATCACCTGGCGATAATCTAATGACCAATGATGGTAAAATTGGCCCATGGTTCTTTATTGCGCCCAGAATTACCCTGGCCAGTGAGCCATCATGAGGAAAATATGTTCACCAAAGCAACCTCAAAAATTAAGTGGCAAGACAAAACTGGCTACGGCCCAGGCACTGAGGTCATCTAGCCTGAACACAGAGCTGTAGGGTACGTCCCAAATGGCACCCTATTCCCAATTTAGTGTCCCATAGGGCTCTGGTCAAAAGTAGTGCACTATAGTATATAGGTAATAGGGTGACATTTGGGACGCATCCATAGACACTAGACAGAGCGACAAACCCAGTTCTCTCTGTCTGATCAACTGATTAGCTGCTCTACCAATGCCAGGCGGCCAATTCATTTACATCAGGGATGGGCAACTTTGATGGGTGTGGGGGCCGCAGTGGCTCGCGGGTCTGCGTGCCCACATCAATACTCACACAAGCAGAACTGATTTGTGCAATCAATCTACTTGTGCAGTTAACCTCAACAAGTCTGTTGGGGGAGGGGGTATTAAGCTAACATATGGAATTGTTTTAAGATGGTCATACCATAGATAATTCAGCTATTCGATTTAGAATTTTAGGACCCCTTTAGGTATCAATTTTTTTGGGATAAAATATTGAATTTGGCCTTTACTACTATAGCCCATTGAAACGCATTGAACAACACATTCATAAATGGCAAAAAAAGACCGTCCAAAAATGTATCATAAGGAATAAGGTTTTAAAGTGTCTATCCTATATGTAGGAGATACTGTATAAGAAAGCTCAAGAAATATTTGAGTTTTTTTGACATATTTAACCCCTTATTTTTGTTGGCACAAAACTACCTCCATGCTTCCATTCGTTTGTATGGGTTACATTCAGACGAGTGACACTTGTGGGGGTCGTAGAGGAAAACGGAGAACACCATAGTGTTCGTGAGTCTCCCCTTTCCATAGACTGTTTTTGGACCAAACCGTTTGGACATTACAGATGTTTTCGTGAGAAGACCGATTTTCGGGATGTCTCATGGTCTGACAAACCCCTCTGTAGCTCGGCAACCTTCCACCGCAGATGCGGAAGGACAACATAGGCGGATGCGGTGGATAGAGACTGAGACCATGCAAAAAACCTGATCTCTAGCTTAAACTGACGGATTTTGACAGGATGAAACTACTTAAACAGTCAGACACATTATGACGGTCGACTGAATAGATTTTTTATTTCTTTTTTAACATTTTCTTCAACAAATCGGTAAGTTAGCAGGCCGCTAGACTATCTAAACTTGAAGTAAGCATGGTCGAATTACCGACCACAGTGGGGCCACAAGCCACTGCGGCTCCTCATGATGAGTTCTGTTTTTATGTGACCCCACCCCCATCAAAGTTGCCCATCCCTGGTGTAGACAATCATTGCACCATCTAAACCGCTGTGAAATATATTTTCCATAACCATAAATATTGTATTTTCAGCTGGTGTAAAAAACTAAAGTAAAAGACGCAAAATAAACTAAACTTAAGAACGGGAAGCATAGAAATAGCGCACATAGAACAGATCTACCACCTCTTAGACTTGCTTTCAAATGAGAATTACCTATGTATAACTCACATTTCTATGCGAATTTGGTCGGGTCGCCCAAAAAGTTACATATTGCAGCTTTAATGTACCGATTGGTTTCATACAACCACTCAACACTGCAGATTTCCTCGTTGGTTTTGAGTCTAATTCAGGCATAACAGAGACCTTTTCTGTGTTAAAGAAACCAAAGTTTATAGCACTAAAACGGCAAAGAGAGACTATTCACACATCTGTGCAGCGTGGAAGTTAAATGTTTGAAACAGTGAATATGATCAGTTTAATTTCTCGGTTAATTTCTCGGTGTCTTCAGATTTCATAACTCCCTTTATGAAATCTCACAAAGATTCTTCTCATCCCTAAAATAAACTATGAGATATGTTAGCATAGCGATATTACTGTGCATCGTAGATGTTCTATTTTCTCCAGAGATTGCAAAATAATTAGTATGTTGTTGTACTGTAGCCTCATAAATACCAGAATGGTTCACGCTGTGCTATCATCTCTGTGCAGCGTTTAATATAAGCTCACGGGATCAGGCGGCTTTGCGAGGCTAGATATATTTTACAGTCAGTTGCTGGTTTCAAAGAGCACCAAAAACGACACTAACCATCTGCCTTTTAGCGTTTCTGCTACCACAGAAACAGACCCTGGGTCTGTTCTAATGCGTCCACCTGTGAATCCGAGGCCATGATTGTGCTTCTGTTGTAGGTGTGGTAGCGAAGCAACCTTTATTTGCATGCAACTAGCATATTAATATGCTTGACCATTTCTCCCGACAACTGCTCTGGCGGACTGTGTGGTTTCAGACTGCACTCTATCCCTGTTCTTCCAAAGAGAAAGTGACACATTTTTTAGTTCAGTGAATCG